CACCTGCTGGTCCCAGGCACTGTTTTTTAAGGAAGGCAAGTGAGATGTGGAAATTGTCCAGAATTATGCCATGAGCAGAAGAACTGAGAACCCTAAACCTGTGCATTTTTCACAGTGAGTTGTTTTGATAGAGCTTTACATAGAAACTAATGTTTTTAAAAGCAATATTTTTCTATATACTTAAACCCCAAAATATAGTTGATTCAGTTCATCCTTAATTCATCAATGTTTGATTACATAACAAGAGATGAAAAGACCCTAGATAGATTTTGTTATAGTCTACTTTGAGTGAAAAATCCTGCAGTATATTAAAAAAAAAAAAAAAGCAGCTCTCTTATGTAGAATTGGGAAAGGTGTGTTCTTGTCTGGAATAATAATTATATAAATATAGAGATGTATGCTGTTCTTCTTATAGTCATGAAATATGTGGAAGCTACAATTCAAATTGACTCATCAAATGCTACAGAGACTATGAGCAGAAATATTTCGAAAGATATTACCTGAGGGGTTTTGCTCTGAGCCCAATTATGAGCAGACTGGCTTGGTCTGTGCCTTCCTAATATATTCTAAGAATTTACGGCAGCACAGGGGCTTCAAATATCAGCAATTTTGGTAGTGCAGATGTTCTATTAATTATAAACCAATGAGAATTAAAGAAATGTTTGTATGGAAACAGTTATTTCAGTTATCTGAACATACATTTTTTAAAATGGATGAGGATAATTTTTAGTTTCACTAAATAGTGAATATATTCCAGGAACACTTTACATGATCAGTTTATTTAAAAATATTTAAAGAATATAAACAAATTTATATAAAACCAAATCAAAATGGAAGCATTTGAAAATCTAACATGGGTAAGTTTATCTTTTATTTTTAATTAAATTTGTCTATATTCATTAGTTTGAATAATCAAGAATTAGCTATTGACAAAGATTATTTTACTTATTCTGAACCAGTGTATATATTCTTCTATTGGAATTATTTTATAGAACCTTTCATCTCTTGGTTATGTGACCTCAATTTCTCCTTCTGATGCCTTAATCCAAGAGCAGTCTAAATAATGGGATTCATTTTTCTGGTTAAGAAGATGGTTGTTGCCTGAGTAGCTTACTTTTAATTCTCTAGAGTCATTTCCCAGATTTAGGTCAACTTTCCGTACTCATTCTCCATTTCTTCCATAGCTAAATGCTGGGGCCTCTTTATTCTCCTTTTCCTCCCAATTCTGCTACCACTCAATCTACTTGGCAGATTCATCTCAAAACTAATAGTGATGTAAGATAGCATGTACTCTGTTCTCCTAAACATATCCTTGCTTGGGCCTCTTAAAATGACAAAGACATTTATAAGAAAATTCTTGCAGGGTTCAGGCTTCCTTCTCTCTGAATTATCTGCTTTCCTAGCTCAGGCTAACTGGGTTATACCAAGGAAGGTGGGTGAAATTGGGATGCTTTGAGTGTCTTCCTTTTGGGAGATCATTTGTATTTCTGGCTGAACTTCAGACCGATGCTTCCCAACCAATTCCATCTGATGGGACACATAGAAAATATTAATAGTTTTATGGCATACATAGTATTACTGAAAAAGCTGTGATTACCACTGCGTGGGGGCTACAGGTACTCTAGGCTCTACTATACCACTTTTTATTTTTTTTAAAGCTGGTTTGTTTTGTCTTTTAATATTTTTAAAGAACTATTCACTTTATTTATTTATTATCATTATTATTACTATTCAATTTGACCAGAGAGAAAGAGAGAAAGCAAGTTGTCAGATCTGGCCACACAACCTACTTTGGAAGTAGGAGTCCAGATCCCTAACCAGCACGCCTCCTGCCAGCCCTACTTTACCACTCTTAAGGAATACATACCTCAGGCAAATTGGTAACTGTTTCTCAGCAAATTTCCCTTTCCTACTGAGAAACTAAGATACCTATGGCATGGGACCAGCAGTTGGCATAATGGTTATGTCGCTGAACTCCCATGTAGTCGACCGTGGTTCGAGTCCCGGACCCAGTGGCTTAAACTCACGCCGGGCGTATGTGCGTGCGTGCCCAGGATCACGAGAGGAGAATGGAGAAGAAGGGATTGCGGCATGGCCATCACCCCGGGGGGTGATTTCTCGCTGTCTGTCTCTCTGTCTCTCTCTGTCTGGCGAGCGCACACGCCCTATAGCAAAAACCTCTC